GTTCGTCCTTCCTTCTGGAAGGGGACCGATGACCTCAGGAAGGTGACGTCTTGACTTGCGAGTGTACTGGATTTAAGTGAGGCAGAGCTGGGCAAAACCATCAGCCTCACTCTCTCCTCCAAAGTCATCAGTGCAGTGGCGAGACCCAGGACCGGCAATGGCCCCGATGCAGTGGGAGACCTTGGCATTCTCTCCATTGTATCAAACGAGTGGCTGTCCAGTCCCTGCTGGAAGGCCCCGGGGACAGAAAACCCACCAGCTCCCCAAGAGCGGCTTCTGCTTTTATACAGCTTCCATTATAAGGCTATTCTTTCCCACATCCATCCTGAATCTGCCCCTTTGTGACTTCCATTCACTGCTCCTGGTTCCACTGTCTGCGGCCAAGCAAAGCAGGTGGGGCCATCCCCAGTCGTCCTGACAATATTGGACCCAGATGGCTGCAGAGGAGAAAGTGAGGCTGGTGACTTTGCGCAGCCCTGCCTCACTTAAATCCAATTCACTTGCATGTTCTCCTATCCTCCAGAGTCTCCTCTTATCCGGCATAAATATGTGGAGCTCCTTCAAATGATCTCCTGGAGAAATGGAGTGAAGACACTTCATCTTCCCATTTATCTGGTTATTTGGGTGAGTTTCATCACCAATGTCCTTCTTAAACCATGGTGCCCAGGAATTGAACATGATGCACCAGATGAGTTCTGATGGCCCGAGGACAGAAAGCATATCATTTCCCTGTTCCCTGTAGTTATAACCCCTTCATGCTGTGGAAGGTCTGGAGAGCCACGGCACTGACGAGCTGCCTTTGAGTGGGTTAGGTCTGAGGCAGCTCAGTTGTCACAACCCAATGAGAGTTGCCGGGCCAGGGAGCTCCAGCTCCACGTGCGTCAGAACCCGACTGATCCAGGGACCTCTTCCGCTTAGTCCTTTGTGGCTTAGCCGAGTCTGAAAGCTTGCTTGTTCCTTCTCTGTTGTTTTTGACTGAAATTTTGTTTACCTTCTACAAATCCTGATTAGCCAGCAGAAACACTAAGCTATATGTATGCATCCAGTCAGGTCTGCTGTGACAAGACATGTGAATTCTTAAAAATCACCATGCTATGCAAAATCAAACGATAAAACCCCAGGGTTGATGCGGGAAAAAGGGGTTTGGGGTACAACATGCCAAAGCTTGGTCAGGGATAACTTTTTTTTGATAAGAACTTAATAAAAATGGTTTCATATGTGTTAAATGGTTAAGAAATCCAAAAATTCTACAATAAGGACAGTGGTATTCCCACTGCTCGGCTTGCACCTCAGTTTCCATAGCACTTGCTGGTTTGGAGAATTGTCCAGGGTGAGAGGGTGGCCTTGGTGGCAGGTTGATGGGGGTGTGGGTGGAGTGTATAGGAATGTGTCCCTACCTCCTCCTCCCCACTCCAGCCCCACCCCCCAGCTCCTTCTGCACCAGAAGATATTCAATAAAGATGGTGCTTTTCCTTGACAAACACCTGAACTATGCTTGTGGAAGTGGGCACCGGAAGGGCAAAGGCATCAGATTTGGCAACTTATTTTAAGTGAGGTTGAGTAAATATCTAGGCTGATGCCTATTCTTATTCCTTACAACGTAAGTTTGAAAAAAATTCAAAACAAAGAATATACCAGTGGTGTCTGGCAGCGTATGCAATATCCCACAGCCAGTCCTCCAAGTGTGCAAAGAGGTAGATTTTCTCAACTATTCTCCTGGGCAAGATTTGATCATTATAGACACAGCATTCAACTTTATGGGTATTTTTTCTTTCTATTTATATTGTGGTAGTCATTACTTTGTTTTTGTTCAGTTGGGTCTGACTCTTCAGGACCCCATTTTGGGATTTTCTTGGCCAAGATACTGGAGTGGTTTGCTACTTCCTTCTCCAGCTCATTTTACAGATGAGGAAACTGAGGCAAACATGGTGAAGTGACTTGCCCAGGGTCACACAGCCAGTAAGTGTCTGAGGCCAGATTTGAACTCAGGTCCTCCTGACTGCAGGGCCAGTGCTTTAACCATTGTACCACCTGGCTGTTCATCCACAGCATACCAGGCACATTTGCTGATTTAACCCTCTCTTTTGAGAGAGGAGGGAACTGAGGCACAGAGAGGCTAAGTAACTTGCCCAAGACCCAGGGTAGCCAGTGGCAGAGTCTGGATGCAAACCCAGACCTCTGACTCCCTTCCTGGCACTCTTCCCCTGGACTGTTCTGGAGACTGAGGCTTGTAGAAAGCCTGGAGTAGGGACTGATGGATGGGGATAAGTACAATGCAGACACTTTCTATGGAAAGAGTAGCAGAAGAATTTTTTTCAGATTAAAGGTCTAGTTCTCATCAGTTCTTAATAATTCTATTACTCCATGTAGTAGAACACTAATGGTTAGATCCATGGCATCACCATAGAGGAAAGGCTGACACGTCAGCTTAACATGACTTTTGTCCCAAGCCTCTCAAGAGCCTCCTTTTCTTTTTATTATTATTATTATTTAGGTAATTGGGGTTAAGTGACTTGCCCAGGGTCACACAGCTAGTAAGTGTCAAGTGTTTGGTCTGAGGTCAAATTTGAACTCAGGTCCTCCTGACTTCAGGGCCTGTACTGTATCCGCAGCGCCACCTAGCTGCCGCCAAGAGCCTCCTTTTCACTGAACTCCCAGGGATAGGCCCGCTAAGGCTAAAATCCAAAAACAATCAGAAAATGAACTTTATGGTTTCTGCCTCTGTCTTCCTAACACCCAGCACAGATGCTGGCAGTCTAGAGCATCCTGAATGAGTCAATGAAGACAGAATTCATCACCTTTGATACCCACCCCCCCAACCATGGCCCAATGAAGATGCTGTGATCACTTCCTGAGCTACGTTCCCAGAAGTTCGTCACTGCAGGGCTGGACAGCGCCGGGCTTTGTCAAGCACAGTCGTTCATTAAATAGTCTAAGAGACCCGAGCGATGGCACTCGTGATGCTGGCAGAGCACCACCAGGAACAGAGGCACAGCTGCTTCAGCTTAGAAAGAGCATGCCCAGCCCTGGGATGGCCTTGACCCTCCCTTGGGCTATTTCACCCTCTCTAGTAGTGTTTCTCTTTGAAGCCCCTCCAGCAGCCAAATGCTCAGCTTGGCCTGACATTGGTTCCCAGCAAGGAAGCCTGAGTAAAGCAGTGGCATCGGGCTCTGTCCTCTGTCGGACTTTGTCTCTGAATTTCATCCTTCCAGTCACAGCTTCCCAAGCCAGAAGTCAGCCTCAGGTCTTCACTCTCCTTCACTCCTCTCTAGGCTCTCCTCCTAACTCCACAGGCTTCTCTCTCCACTACCCCCATCAGCCTTCTCAGCCTGGAAGGTCTCTCTTCCCCTGTGGCCGTGCTCAGATGGGTCAGATCCTCCCAGGACTCCCATTTTAAGGAAAGGGCTCAGGCCAGCCATGTCCACTCTCCTTCCTCACTCTTTGGCCTGCTTTCTCCACCATGCTCCAGCATGGATACTTCCTCTCCACTCCATCCTCCCCCTCACCTAAAGTTCAAGCTCCTTTCTCTGCCTTATACATAAAATCCTTCACTGTTGGACTCCAGCCCCACCTTCCAGACTGGTTACACATAATCTCCCCTCCTGCACTCTACACTCTAGCTAAAATGGGCTATTCCCCCATAGAAGACATGCCACCCTGTGTGCCCCACCTTTGCATGAGCTGTCAGTCCTGAGTAAATACATTCCTTCCTCACCCCCCCCCCCCCCCCGCTTAGAACCCCAAGGTCCATCAAAACTCAAATCAACTGTCATTTCCTGATTTTTCCCAATTGTTACTGTCACCACCAGGACTGTGATTACTGATCTTGCATACACTTTAGATTCACTTGTGTAAGGGGTAGATAATTGAACTCCCCCTTCCCCCCTCAGCTAGGTTGATACAGTCATAGGATACAATCAGGTATCACAAGGTGTCAGTTAATATGTAACCAAGACCTGGTGATGATCCCTTTACAAAGTAGGAACACTTTTCTCTACTGGCATCAAAACAAGGCTGATCATTGGCTGGGCTAAAAACTGGTCACAACCCTGGAGGCTTTGAAGTGGTCAGAGTTGTAGACAACTGGAGAGAGTGCACAGAAATCCATCTGCTGGGACCAGATCCCTGGAAATAAACAGTTCTTAGCAGGGAAGATGGGATTCTCTGTTCTCCCATCCTGGGCCACGTAAACTCAGTGATGTGCAACCCAGCAGGAAACACTCCTGGTCAGGAAAAAGCTCCATGCACATACTCCATCCAGAACCCCAGCAAGACTGGCAAAGGCATTCAAGAAGCTTCAAGGAGAAGGACCTCTGGCAGCAGAGAAGAGAGCCAGCTATGGACTCAACAGAGGACAGTCCCCAGCAGTGCGGGGTCAAGCTGTGGGGAGGTGAGGACTCTGGGAGTCGGGCTGAGACGCTGTACCCTGGGTGGACAGCGGTGGGGGAGGGGAGGGAGCACCCCCATCATGTTGCCAGGATGGATCGCATGGAGTCTGGACGGGACTAGGGGAGAGACTGGAGGCAGGGAGACCCCAAAGGAGGCTGCTGCCCTAGTGCCCGGGAGGGGTGAGGAGAGCCTGCCCAGGGGCTGCCAGGCGCCTCCAGTGACGGTGAGAGCTGGCGTTCCTGCGGCCGAAGGGGCCTCGCACCCGGCTCCCCAGGCCCTCCCTGCAGCGCTTGGTGCTCTTCTAAAGGAACGAGCCGAAAGGACCCGACGCCCTCTGGGGCCTCGCGGCTCAGCACGTGGCCGCCAGGTGCGGGCGGGAGCGCCCCCTGTGTGGACTCCATTTCCCAGAATGCCAGCGCCGTGACGTCACTCACGCCGCAGCATCTCCTATGGCTGCTGCAGAGCCCCAGGGTATGCTGGGAATCTAGAAGTGCGCAGGCGCAACTTCCCAAAGGACTGCACGGTGTGTTCAGCCCTTTGTTCTTGGGCCCCCCCCCCCCGGGGGGGGGGGGGGGGGGGGGGAGGGGCGGGGGGAGTCAGTGCGCAGGCGCGGCCCAGGCTCCCAGAAGGGCGGGGAAGCCCCTCCTCCACCTTACCCCCTCCCCCAGGGGCGCCAGCAGACACACAGGACCCTGCTTGGGTTAGTGAGTGTGGGAGTGTCCGTGCAAGCCTTTGCGCGTGTGCCAGAGGGAAGGGGTGGGACGAGTGCGCGTGTGCATGTGTGCATGTGTGCAAAGGTGTGGGATGGGGAAGGGGCTGGGGGGGTGTCTGAGGTTGTGTACATATGTTCGACCAACAGTGTGATTGCTTGTTCTAGTGCTTGTGACGGGAGGAACTGGGGACTGGTGTGTGCATGGGTGCAAATGTGTGCAACAGGGGGAGGGGTTGGAGGTGTCTGCGTGTGCATCTGGTTATCAGAGTATGATTGCGTGTGGAAGTGTGTGTGACAGTGCAGGGCCGGGGGGGGGGCCGATGAGTGTGCAAGTGCGCAAATGCGTGAGAGGGTAAGGGAGGGGGGTAGTGTCTGGGTGTCTGCGTGTGTTTGTCCAAGAGTGTGGTTGCACAGGCAAGTGTGTGGCAGAGGGAAGGGGCTGGGGCTGCTGAGTGTTCATGTGTATGCGGGAGTGGCTGCTGTGTCCCTGAGTGTGTTTGCAGGTGTGTGTGCGTGGAGGGGGCGAGTGTCTTGAGTGTGTGTGCTTATGTTATGTTTATCCAAGAGTGTGATTGCACAGGCGAGTGTGACAGAGGGAAGGGGCTGGGGGCTAGGGCGTATGTGCATGGAATTGTGTGTCTGAATTGTGTATGATTGCACGTGCGTGCGTGCGTGTGCTTCGATGGGGGAGGTGCTGGTGCTTGTGCATCTGTGTTTGACAGAGGCGGCTGCTGGGGTCCCGGAGAGTCTGGGGGAGCCCCCAGCTTTGCATGGGTTTCTCACCTGCTCCCCAGGCTGCCCCGTGTGATTGGGGGGAGGAGCTGCTTCTTTGGGGAACCCTAGGAGCTGAGCCAGGCCCCGAGAGGGAGCGGAGGGAGGGGTAGGGCTGGCCTTTGGGGTGTCACCACTCCTTGGGGACCCCCTCCCCAGCCAAAGAAACCACACCAGCCCCCCCCAGCCCCAGCTTCCTTTACTGTAAGAGGAGGGGAAAAGCCCCACGCGGTCGTGGGTGTCACAGGGCCTGGAAGTCCTGCTGGAGGCAGGGAGAGCTCAGGCCTGTCCAGTGTGGCCCATGGGGATCAAGAGCCCCGCTGGGGGAGGAGTTCCCCAGAACCCCTCTGCAGGCTCAGAGCAGGAGGGAGCACTCAGGATGATGTCATTAGGACTCCCCTTCCTGACCCTGGGGGAGAGGCTTGGTCCTTGTGGAGAAATACTGAGACTTTTTACATTGCTGCCACTTTCCAAATGAACCAGCACAACCTGGGGAGGGCCGAGGGGTTAGTGAGCGTGTATTAAGTGCTTACTGTGTGACCTCAGTCAGTGAGCATGTATTAAGTGCTTACTGTGTGCCCCTCACTGTGCTAGGGATGCATGTGCCAGCAAAAAGAAATAAAGTCTCTGTCCTTGACGATCATGCATTCTGGGGTTGGGGGAGAACACCTGGAAAGACAGAGGAAAAGGGGAAGACAAGAAGGAGCCCTTGTAAGGGCCCGGTGGCCTGTGGGGAACGAGGGACAGCTGGGCTGGGCCCTTCCCCCAGTGAGAGAATGGGCCAGAGGGGCTGAGGCGTGAAGATGTAGTGAGAGAGTGGGGGACGGCTGGGCTGGGCCCTTCCCCAGAGTGGACGCTCAGGTCAGAAGCCCCCAGCGGGAGAAGCAGCCACCATTAGCAGGCAGGAGGCAGCCTGGGATGCGTGTGAACACACACCTTGTCACTAGCTCTGACCTTGGGCACAAAAGAGACGTCACCACATTTCCCCAACACCAGCTTGTCGCCCGTTTCCAGATTCTCCTACCACCGCCATTACCCAGTAGCCTCTCCTCCTGGGAGTTTCATTCAGTCCACATTTTTCACCTGGTCCCATTTCTGGTAGTTGTCGTCTGCTAACCTCGGTGGTGTTCTCCTTTGTTTCTCCCTTACTTCAGTGCCAGGCCCAGGGCCTTTCTCTGCACCTCAGCATACGTAGAGATGGTCCACGTTCTCCTCACTGCCCATGACCTTCTCCTCCGCTTCACCAAAGCTGCTCAGATGCATGTTCATGCCCTTGGTCTTGCTACCACCCACAAGTGTTCCGCTTCAATCCTCATGGACTCCTAGATTTCTTTATCTGATTAGACTCTTAGCACTTCTTCTTTCCCTCTGCCTTATGGGTGTTAACCACATTCTTTGTCCTCAGTGTGACCTCCAAACCCTGGACCTTTCACTGCATTCCCTCACCATCCTTCCTTTTCTTGACCTCTTGGCCAATCATTTCAAGTTTGTATGAGCATCTCATCTCTTGTTCCGTTGTCTATCACCCATCATGCCTTGCCGACCCCTGACCTCGGATTACTCTCACCATCTACCATCTGGACTGCCATTCACATGTAGCAGAATGGTGCTGGAGAATGGCACAAAAGTGTGATGACTGGGTCACCTGTAAATTTAGGTTACCCGTCTCTACTGGGCTGTCACTGAAACAATGCAAGTAATTATTCTTCCAATGCGCCACCTTCACAGTATCTACTCCAAAATTTTCCTTCCCCTTTAAAACTTCATAGCAACATTCCCCACAACTTCTTAATTGAACAACTTCTCTCTTCCTTCTAAAAAAAAAAAAAAAAAGTGAATGCTTCACCAAGGCCTCCTCTTCTCTCTTCATCCTCATCTCATGTTGCTCAGAAGTCTTCTGCAGATGTTGCCGCCATTAGTCCTGTCTCACAGGAAGAAGTAGCTTTCCCCCTTGCCAAGACAAACCTCTCTAGATGCACAAACAATCCTATTCCATCCCCTTTTCCCCAGCAGATGGCCTCATCTATTATCCCCTTTTGTCAATAATCTTCAGTCTTTCCCTGTGTACTGGCTCCTTCCCAACAGATAACTTTGTACTGCGCGCAATCATTTTGCTTCCTCAAAAAATGCCCAGTTGATCAGTCTGCGTCCTAGCTAGCGATCACCCTTTTATCTCTCCTTCCTTTTATAGCTAAAGTCTTTGAGGGGGACGTCTATAATTTGTAACTCCAGTTACAACTGAGAAGCATCTGTCAGATGTAGAGGAGGAGAACCAAGAAGGAACAGTGTCCCAGAGAAACTGGAGAGAAGGGAGTGTCAGGGAGAAGAGAATGATGGACAGAAAGTTCAAGAAGGAAGATGATTGAGAAAAGGCCTTTGGATTGAGCAGATGATGGATCCTTGATCTCTATGGAGAGAGCCGTTTTGGTTGAATGGTGAGGTCAGAGGTCAGATTGTGGAGAGCAGACAGGAGGGTGAGGGAAGAGCAAGTTGGAGGCACCTGTCTGAGTCTTCTCAAGGTGTTTCACCACAAAAGGCAGGAGGAATGGGATGACCCTCAGTCCGGATGCACGTATCAAGTGAGGGTTTTGAGGATGAGGGAAATTTGCAGCTGAGACTGGAACTTAAACCCTGTGCTGAGCATGCTCTGCCCTCAGCACTAGAAGGTCTTTCTACATTGCACTTTCAGTCCTTTTCTTCAGATTCTTTTGTGATTTTATCCTTTTCACCTTGCTGACCACAGACCAACTTTCTACTGTTCTGTACCGACCAGTTTACACCCACTATCTCATGGTCATTTTCTGTAAATGTCATTTGCTAAGCTGAAAAATAGCTTTGCTCCTTTCAGTTGGACCCATGTCATTTTCAGTGTTTTGCCCAACTTTTCTTCTTTTCTATTCAGATCCAAAGATATTATGCCATTTCCTGTACATATACTAAAGATTCATGTTGTCATTAAGTGTTGGAGGAGAGGGGAGAACCTGAAAGTGTCCACAGGAAGCAAGGAGTTGTCCAACTCCCCTGCCTTGACAGTAAACCAAGGAGAAAGGGTGGAAGTGTATCCAGCACTGGAGAGGGTGGCCAGGGAGGCTTGTCAGCAGGGAAGAGCCAGGTTTCGGGGAGAGCTTCTTGATATATGGAGTGGGAAAGGAATAGAATTAAGATAAAGGGAAGCTTGTTGCCTATAGAACCGGCATTCCAGGAGGCACAGTGGAAGGGCTGGATGTAGTTAGGTTGAAACTTTGGGGGAGGAGGCATGAAAAGGAGAGGAATGAGGAATCAGGTGGTAGGGAGTGTAGAATAGGGTTTGGAGCTCTTCTTTTTTTAAATGGAAATCCATGAAGCGCTTCCTTGTTTCTAGCTCGGTGCTGAGGAAGATACAAATACCCAGGGAGTACGAAATAAAATTAAAATATTCCTCGTGCTCCTGGAGCTTACCTTCCAAAGGAGAATATTGGATTTATGTTTGAAACTGAGGTAAACTTAGGTAAATAATCAAAGCAGCATCAGTTACTCGTGGTGACTTGTGTAACTGTTAACAATGTAAGTCAGACTGGCAGTCTCAGTAAAGCCAGAAACCCCAGTGAGAAGGAGAGGACCCGCTTTATTGACAAACAAGATAGAAAGGGTCTTGGCAGTCCTGGAACATTATAGTTGGTTTACTGAGAAATGTGGGTTGGCATTCAGGCAAGACCAATCATGTCCCTCTCTGATCATTAAAGGAATATTCATTGTTTTAATGTTGTCTGCATTGTTTTATGGGCCTCATCTGCACCTGAGGCTATCGGAGGCACGTGAGACCCTTCTTAGTTATACAAGGACAGGCCAGGATGGACCATGTATCTTATGGAAATATGCCACATCACCTTGGAGGTCTTCAAAGATAGCAAACCAATGTCCTGGAATTTTCCCAGGAGCTAACAGTATGATAGATAGCAGTTTTTCTCTTTAATTATAACTGTAAACTAACTCAGAGGGAAGGCTGAATTCCTGAGCTCAACTCAAGGACATAGAAAAGTGGTTTAGTCAAATGCAGACTCAATTATAAAAATCAATGCAGCCTAAAATAAATTATAGTATCAATATGGTAGGAACTTAAGGGAATATTAATTTTGATCTTTTCAGTGGGCAAGGAGGGGTCCTTTAGTTGGAAAAACTACTGGGCTGGGGAGTGGGGCCCCAGGGCATAGATTGACAAACCTCATCCAAAAACTGGAGTGGAATTAGATTTGCTCTTGATTGTTGTAAGCTGAATTGGAGAAGGTTTTCTGAAGGGTTTGAGGTAACAAATGAAGCCAAAACAATGAATGGTCAGGTCAGGCTGGGTGTAAGAAACCTCCTGAGAGTGGAAATTGAAGTGATCCTTGAGGGCTGAGGCTTTCCTAAGCAAATGGTCCATAAGAAGTCAACAGCAGGAGGACTGCAGTCCCTGGGAGCCAACGGCATGGGTGGGGCTTTACTCTCTACCCCTATTGGCCGACCCCAAACTCCTTTTGCAGCATCTTCCCATGTGACTTCTTGACCCTCTGCTTGATTGAAATTCCTCCCACCAGAGTTACCAGTGACCCTTCTTTTCACATAACCTTTAAGGGCTACATAAATGCTATTCATATTAAGTTACAAGTCAACACTGTCTGAAACTACATACACCACATTACATGAATTTTCCAGGTCCTTGGTAGCCCTAGCAGTATTTAGCCCATGTAGATGTGTTGGGGGCTGGGAGTAGATTCCTCAGCTAAAATGTACTGGAAGGCCTTTTGAACTGAGAAGGGAACATTACAAATTAATAATCAAATGACATAGCATTAAAATTAGTTTTCCTCAAACAGGTTACAGACAGGTTCCCAGTCACACAACAGTGTGACATACTCTATCAGTAGATGATAGACATATGTGTGTCCCAATTCCACAGATGACAAAGAGATAGTCTCTTTTTCCTGAGCTACATGAAATAGAGCATGGATAAGATCCCTGAGGTCTTGTAGGAAGGCTGACAAAGAAGTTTGGGTAAGATCAGGTCAGGGCACATAGATACCAAAAGAAAAAGGATGTGAATTTAGGGTTAGGGTTAGAAAGGTCTGGTACAAAGGACAGTTACACCAGTCCAAAGAAAACAGTATCTGCTTGATTAGACAGGAGGTTAACCAACATTTGCTTAACCCTTTGTGCCTTCTTAGACGGAATAACAGCACAGTGAGTGAGTCTGTGAGTTTTAAAGTGATTGGGGGAAGGGAGGTTCTGAAGGGGACATTCAGCACATTGATATAAAAACAGCCAGTAGAGCATCAAATGGAGTCACTTATGTTTTCTCAAAAAATCACTTTTGACAACCATTATCCACCTGCTTTATGAAAGCCTCAATGGTAACTATTAGGAATATGAGTGCAAAAGATGTGATTGTGTTTCCCAGAATGAAAGGAGGAAAGAAATTAGGAGGCAGTGGCATAAAGATGGTCAGAAAGCAACAGGCAGGGAATAAGGGTTGGGCTGGTTGAGAACTCTCTCCAGACAGGAGAGCAGGGCTTCTGGGTGAGAGCTGAATTAAGCAGGAAGCCTGGCATGAAGGTGGCATCAAAGACTACATCCTGTTCTTACAAGGCTAGTCAGAGAAGGGAGGCCATCTGACCTTTCTGACTTCCTGGTTCAGACCTACCTGAGACCTGCAAACACAGGATTTCTAAGAGATTGTTATCTCAACTAAAAGGACTGCCACTTTCAGTTACGAGGTCTGCCAGAAGGAAGAGTTTGTCTAGGAAGGTGGGCCATGTGGGAAGCAGAAGAGGCTGTAGGAGCCTCAGTGGGCCAAGCCTCTTCCAGGAGGGTCCAAGAGGCCCTCTCTGCCTGTGGCCTGAGGCCCCAGGATCATGCTTTTCCTCCATTCACACTCAGGGCCAGGGACTCAGGCCCCTGCCCTCCTCTCTGCCCCTATTCCTGGTCTCCATCAGCTGCAATGCCATGGCCATGGGAATGACCCCTCTTCTGCTTTAGCCTTCTCTTAGTCCCCCACAGGGCTGGAATTCTGAACCATCACCCACCAGGCTGGTTATCCCTTAGAGTGCCTTCTCCTTCACCTGTCCATCACCTCCCACTCTCCCTCCCTCTTCCTGTCCTGGGATTCTTCCTCCTTCTGAGTAGAAAGACTGCCACAATAAAACTTTGGCAGTAGACTAACCCAAAGTAGTAGGCCCTATATTTTGAGATTCTGACAGCAAATGACTCTTGGAAAAATTGAGATTTTATATGATATCATTTGTAAATGTAAATCTAGTTCTGATGGGACTGAGTTTGCCCTAAACTAAATTCTAATGCAGTCACATTTAAAATCACATATGTGCTCCTCTTAGGATAATTGTGATGTTTGACCCTGTATAGGTAGATCACACCGTCATGCAAAATACACTTAAAATTTGACATTAAGGCAATATGTTTAGAAATGATAAAGATAAGAATTAAAAGCATTATTGGATCAAAATGACTCTATACTGGAATCTCAATGCAATCAGTCTAGAGTGTCAAATTGATAAATGGAGAAAGTGATTTTCTATGTAAGATAATTCAGAAATCACTCAACTGAATTGGTGTTATTTGATTGGCAATAAATTTTGTTTCACATCTGTTTTATCAAAGCATTAAGATTTGTTTTAAATCTGTAACATTGTTTATAATATTATGCTTCAAATTTTTCTTTTATTGTGATTTTTGGGAAACCATTGTATAAGAAATACTGTCAATTTGAAAAATTATTCCTAGAAACTTGTTTCCTTGAGAAATTCTTCTATTGCCCTGAATGATTTGAAATGATGAATTAAGTTGTTAGAGACTGTGGTACCAATGTTTAAACACTGTTATGTATGCAATTAGGTCTATTTTGCTTTAAAAAGAATAAGAAGAAGAACTTTCTGTTTGGGAAAAGTGCAAAAGACCCTATAAATTCTACTTAAGTGAGAAGTTCTTTGGAGACTTACCAGATGCCTTTAGACCTTTTCCTCGGGCAAGGTCATAAAATCTTGTTGGCCTGGAAAAGAAATTGCCGAAAAAAAAGTAATGAAATGGTGTAGGAAAATTATAAAATTCTACGTAGGATATCCCGCATTGCGGTTACACATCTGAGCCAACTCATTCTCAACAGACCCCAGCCATGCTTCAAAATGAGATTCATTTCTTGAATACAGTTGATATTACAGATCTTGGAATGCAGAAAATGAGAGAATGGCTGAGATCTCCATGATCTGGGGACTCATGGTAATTCAACAAGCATTGATTATGTGCCAGGCACTGTGCTAAGTGCTGGGGTGCAAAGCGAGGTGAAACAGCCCCTGTCCTCAAGGAGCTCACATTCTAATGGATTTAGTCACTTAAAGAAGTCAACAAGCTTTTATTAAAAATTGGTGTAAACTAAGCAACTCATAGGTTCTTGGGATTCTGAGATTGGAAAAAGAAAACAGGAGACAATTTGCAAATAACTATACACACACACACATACATACCTACTTCCATGAACAGAAGCTGGGACATACAGTGGATAGAGTTCTGGGCCTGGATTCAGGAAAACCTGAGTTCAAATCTGGCCTCATTCCCTTCCGAGAGAGTTGGTTTCCATTTTCCATACTGTAAAATGGTGGTAGTAGGACCTACATGACAGAGTTTTTGTTAGGATCAGATGAGATAATATTTGTAAAGCAGTTGTGCCTGGCACATAGTGGACACTTAATGAACATTTGTTTCCTTGTTTCCTACCCACAAAATATATATAAGGTAAACTGCAGGAAATCAGAGAGGGTGGGCCAAGAAATGCTTTTTGCAGATGATGGGGTCTTAGTGAACACTTGAAGGCCCCCCAGAGCAGGCTGGCTCAAAACCGGAGCCCTTGGAGCTGAGCTCTCTCTGCTTTCTTCCTTTGCAGCAGAGATTTCTTTGCCTTCCCTCACAGCCAAGATCTCTCTGCCTTTTGGAGGCCAGCTCTGAACGTGCAACTCCCAGGTAGGTCTGAGCAAGGACCCCTCACTGCGCCGGGCCTGCTGGCTGTCCTTCCCTTCGGCCTTATTTTTCCCATCAGACCTCTTGGTGAGTGTCCTGCAGTTATGCGGGGAGCAGGCTTCCCAACCAGGCTTGATTCTCCGGGATACTCCCTGCCCCTGCTATTTGTCAAGGCTCTCCATGACATCTCAAAGGTCTGGGGTGTCACCCCCGCCTTTACCATTGAGTCACAGTTGCCCGACCTTCATGTCTCACCCATAGTATCAGATGGAGGTAGAGCTCTGGGTCAGGGGCCATTGAGGCCCTGACTGGTCTCATCCCAGCTGGGATCCCAAGCCCCTTCTGCCTTTTAAGTATCTCTAGAAGGATGGAGGAAGGGAGGGGTAACAGAAGGGAAGGAATTCATGAGGGTGGAACATAGTCTTCATTTTCAAACCTTCTTTTCCTAACCTGACACTCCTTGCTGACCTCCCCTGGTTTGGAGTCTGTTCCCTGAGGGCAGGGCCAGGGGCTTAGTAACTACTATAGGACCTCACCCTCTATAAATTCCTGTGGGTCAGTCTCCTGCCTAGGAAGAGAAGAGAAAGACTTCTATCCCTCAGTGAGCCTTCTTCCTTTCCAGCTTAGCCTTCAGAGTACCAAGGCCTGGCCCAAGCAGGGAGCCTGGAGACAGAGGGAATGGCCCCTGGGACCCAGAGACCTCCACCTCAGGTGAGTGCAGTCCTCTCCCAGACCTGCCCAGCATCAGCCAACGTGGCCACTCAGTTCAGTCCAGATTGTGATTATTATTGTTTAAGAATCTTCTTTGTGTTTTCATCTAGATAAGTCTATTACAACCTTTTAGGAAATCAGCTAGATAATTTCTTTTTCTCTGTTCTTTTCTCAGTGATGGCAGGCAATTGCCCCCACCCTTGAATACGCAGCACTTGCCTGCTTCTCACAAACTCTGCACAGAATTTTCTTAGCATATCACTTACGACACTTCTGAGAAGGAGGAATTTCACATCACCTCTCCTTCTCCTTCACAGACTCTCATATCTCACTGACAGAGCGCCTACCTTCTCCCTGATTCCATAGGGAGAAGTATTTCGTAGTTAGACATTTCTCCAGTTTTTATTATTCCAGCAGGATTCAAACTTCCAATATAAAATGCTTTTCTCAACATTCCACTGGGCTGTTAATGACTATGGTTTCAAGGGTTGGCTCTGACACCCTTAAAGGCGATAGGAGTTTTGGGCACCTCCCCTCTGTGCCTCAGTTTCCTCCTGGAGGTTGATGAGGGTTGGACTAGATGAATTCTGGACTCTTTCAGCTCTAAGTCATGTGACTTTTGATGGTTTAGGAGTTGGTGACATTCAAGGACGTGGCTGTGAACTTCACCCAGGAGGAGTGGGGCCTCTTGGACCATTCTCAGAAAGAGCTGTACAAGGAGGTCATGCTGGAGAATGCCCAGAACCTGCTGACCCTGGGTAAGGACCATGTCCTCTGGTAACACTGAACCTGCCATCAAAGGAATGTCTTCATTCCCTCCCTAGAGTGCAGGGTTTGAGCCTTTATCAGTGATTCAAAAGGCAAAAGTGCTGGTCTCTCCACAGGGTCCGCAAGGTCTTTGTCAAATTCTGAAAATCAATGACCAGTGTCACAGAGGTCATAGGCAAAAAGCCTTCTTTATTCTCTTGGAAGAGGGAAACTAGACATGCGGGCCAGGGTCTTCTCAGGGGAGACCCAAGGCAGTGAGGCTAAACCTTGATATATATATAGTTGTGGCTACACAAAGAATCAAACAGTAAAGCATAACAGCAGCGGGGAGGCAAGGTTGCCTAGTGACAAAAAGCCTATTCATCGCAGGGCTTCATGTCCGGTCCTGCTGGTGCTTGCCTGAGCTCAGGGACCGTCAGTCCTGTGATTTGGCTGCAGCGTTCATCTAGGGGAAGAGCACAAAGGATTGTTGCCATACCAAGCTCAGGGCACAGCCTGCTTGCTGGGCCTTAGCTCTAGAAGACAGGGTGTTTCCTGATAGTAAAAAGAGAGGAGTGGAAAGAGGGGTGGTGTTGGGAGGGGATCCTGACATCTTTGAATTACATGACAGGAAGCTGGGACTTTACTTGGTCACTCCTGAAATTGTCTCTTTCCTGTTTTATGTAGCTTGAGTTTTCTCAGATGTGGAACTAATCTCAGACGTTATCTAGTCTAACCTCTAACTGGACGTGAATTTTGTTTGCAAAATCTCAGAAGACTGCTCATGCAGCTTTTCCTTGAAGGTGGGCAGTGAAGGGAACCCTCTGCCTTCCAAGGCACCCCTTCCTCTTGGGGAGGGGTCTAGACTTCAGAAAGGTCTTCTTGCTAACAGGCATCAGTCTCGAGCTCCTTGCTCCTAAACCTGCCGGGTATAGCAAGTGTCTCCTTATTCTCCTTCAAATTCCAGCCCAGATGGTGGGAAAGGAAGGGAAGGGACTGAGCATCACTGCACACCTTTCTGTGTCCCAAACTGGGCAAAGCGCTTTAGAATTATAATCATTTGATCCTCACAACATCCCTGTGGGTTTGGTACTATTATTATCCCATTTCTTAGTTAATGGGACTGAGGCAAACAGAGGTAACATAACCTTCTGGTTATGTGAGGCAGTGCCCATTCAGTGATTAGAGCTGTTGAAGAAGTGAGTCAAGAGATGGCCCTTTTAATTAAAAAAAAAAAAAGAGTGAACATAAATAGTGATTGTTTCTCTTTGGCCAGCAAGCCTGAGGATCTACCTCTCCCAGTTTGATTTTTTTTTTTTAATGAACTGAATGGATACTGCCTCACTCAAAGTGAGAACTCTGGAAAGACCATGGCTTAAAAAGGCTAAGGTCGGGGCAGCTAGGTGAAGCAGTGGATACAGCACTGGCCCTGGAGTCAGGAGGACCTGAGTACAAATCCAGCCTCACACACTTGACACTAGCTGTGTGACCCTAGGCAAGTCACTTAACCCAATTGCCTAAAAAAAAAAAAAAGGCTAAGGTCTCCCACTGCCTCTTGGGCCATCTCCAGTTGTCCTGATCTCTATCTGGCCACCGGACCAGATGGCTCTAGAGGAGAAAGTGAGGCTGGTGACTTTACACAGCCCTCCCTCACTTAAATCCAATTCAGTGCAAGTCATGGCATCACCTCCCGATGTCATGGTCCTCTTCAAGGATGAAGGGCAAACCACAACCTGTGAGTAGTCTGAGCTGCCTGAATGGGGATCCAGCTGGCTAGCTCCAGTTGGGCAATTCAGCTCATCCTCTCCTCTCCCAGAATGGGGTATCATGGCCTTACCTGACTGTGTTCTGCCCAAGGAAGGTCCATTTTGATGGCTGAAACCTGCCTAGTTATCTTGGGGTTCACTGGCTAGATTTCATTCCCAAAGGCCATGCCTTAAACCCAGTTCACTCTGGGTCACATCGATTAGACAACAATAGGTCCCTGCTCAACACCACTCAGACTTGTTACCACTACAGTAAGAGCTGCCCCTAATTTCTAGATAATGGAAGCTATGGAATGCATCCATCCTTCTGTGAAAGGTGAAAAAGGATGGAATTCTCCGCATGATCTCTGCCCCCCTCCCAAGATCCTAACAATCAATAGCATAGAAAAAATCTTTGAGGCATTCTGGGAGCGGTCCTGTGCTTACCTCCTTGCCTGTGTGTCCTCTTTCTCTAATGAGGACTGAGTGGTATATTTCTCTCTATCCTCATCCCTTCCTTATTCTATACTCCCAGGGCTTCCAGTGCCTAGAGAAGATCTGATCTCCCCTTTTCATCAAGGAGGAACACCAGGGACGCTAGGGCAAAAAGGCCCAAGGAACTCCTGGCCAGGTGAGTGAGATGAAAGCAGGGGTGTGAGGCCTATTATCACAAGAGGCATCAATGTGTTGCAGTGAAGGAAATGCTAAGGACTTGGGGGCAGGCAGACCTGACTTGGAATTTGCTTTTGGACACAATTCAGCAGTGGGATCCTGGGCAAGTAACTGAACCTCTGAACCCCAGTTTCCTTTTCTGTAGTAGAGGAGAAGGGGTCAGACTCCTTAGCCTTTCAGTTCCCTTCCATTAATAAGTCTGTGATCCTCCGAGAAGTCATTGTTTGGAGCTTTGGGGCATGGGACTTTCCTGAAGGCATCTGAGAAGGGGCTGAGGCTGTCCAATGTGAACTCTTTCCTAGGCTTTATTCAAGTGCATAAGTAGTAAGCACCTACTATGTGCCAGACCCTGTTCTGAGTGTCAGGGATACAAAGAAAGGAAGGGGACAAGCCCTGCTCTCAAGGACTTCCCATTCTAGTGGCAAGACAACATGCACACAACTGTGTACAGACCCCATACATCCAGGATAAATTGGAGCTAATCAAGGGAGGGAAGGCACCAAGGCTGAGGATTGGAGAGGACTTATTGTACAGTGAGGGGTTTTAAGTGGGACTTCAGGGAAGCCAGAGTGAGCATGAGGGGCAGTCAGAGAAAACATGGAGTCGGGAGGGGGAGCGTCCTGATCAGGGAACAAAGAGGAGGCCTGTACCGCTTCTCATCACACATGTGGAGGGGGAGTGAGGTGAAAGAAGACTGGGGGGCAGGAGAGAGGCAGATGATGGAGGGCTTTAAGAGCCAAGCAGAGGATTTTATATTGGGTCCTGGGAATCGGGAGCTAAGGGAGTTTGTGGAGCAGGCGGTGACATGATCAGAAGTGCACTTTAGGAAGGTGAATTTGACAGCTGGATGGAGGATTGAGTGGACTGGAAAGATACTTGAGACAGTGAGGCCAACCAGCAGGCTCTCAGAATACCTCGGGTGTGAGGTGATTGGGGCCTGAACGTTGGGAGAGGAGGGGACGTGTGGGAGAGATGTTACAAAGGCAGAGTCAATAAGACTTTCCCCGATGTTGAGTATGGGTGGATGTGACTGTCTGAGGGATGATGATGAGTGGTGACACCTAGGTGACGAGCCTGGATGATTGGGAAGGTGGTGCCCTGGGTAGCAAGAAGAAAATAAGGAGGCAGGAGAGCTTGGGGAAAGACAGTGAGTTTAGTTTTGGGCCACGTAGGGGTGGAACCAGGAGAAAGTATTGTCACCAAAACCTAAAGAGAAATGAGTATCAAGGGACAATTGACTATCCATCTCAAAGGCTGCAGAGAGGTCAAGAAGGATGAGAATTGAGGAAAATCCACTGGATTCAGCAATTAGGAAGTTGTTGGTCACTTTGCAGAGAGCACTTTCAGTTGAGCAATGACATTGAAACCTGGAGTGCGGAGAGTTTTGAAGAGAAGAAGATGAAAGGAGTGTGAAACACTAATTGTTGATGGCCCTCTCTAGGTATTTAGCCATGAAAGGAAGAAAGGATGCAGGTCAATGTCTAATGGGGATGAATGGACCGTGTGAGGCTTTTTTCAGGGTTGAGGACACATGGTTTTATTTATGGCAGCAGGGCAGGGATCAGTAGAAGGAGAGATTGAACATTTGTGGAAGAATTGGGGTGGTACAGGAGGGAATATGCTGGCTGGGAGATGGGATGGACTGAGATCATTAAGGCATGTAATAGGGTTTGCCTTGGCCACCATAATGGCCATCTATTCATGGGAGACCAGGGCAGTGGAGGAAAAAGAAGACATCTGACTCATTTGAGATGAGGAGGAGATAATAAAGGTCTTGATAAGTGTCTAATTTTTTTTTAGTATAATATGAGGCCAAGTGTTTAGGTGAGAGTATTGGGGTAAGCAAACCAAATGAAAGAATTGGGGAAGAATAGAAAGATTTGGAAAAGCTCCTCCTGATAGTAGGAAAAGACAGAGATGTCAAAGGACTGCCTCGGCACAGTGAGGGCCCCCTGAGATCATATAACCTAAATTTGTAGTGGGTGCAGACAGCCCAGTTTCACGATTTTCTCTGTCTCTGTGCAACATCTTATGGGTAGCTATGGAAACCACTGCCTTACTGTAAGTAGTAATAAAAGGCTGAGGTTTGTACAATTCATCAACCCAAGGTTCTTTTCCTGGTTTCTACGGCCCAGTCTTTGTCTCTATTCTCAGAAAATAAACAGCAAGATATGGAGGTGACCACTCTAAGGTCAGGGAGTTGGGAGGCAGAGACTCCCAGGCATCCCATAGAACCAGACCCTCTGGGACCTTAGAACCCTTTGGGACCTCCAGTATTTGGTCTTGTTAGGACCCATTGGGTTTAGAACCAGACAAAGGTAACTCCTTGTAGGTGATAAGGGATGAGAAAGAGACACAAACAGAGTTGAGGAGAGAGCCCCGAATCCAGGGAATGGGGTAGTGTTTGTGAACTGGTATCAGCCCTGGGCCCAGTCAGTCCGTCAATGCAGATACAACATATAAATGCCTGCTATGTTCTAGGCCCTGGATAAGCCTGGGAAAACAAAGGAAGGTAAAAGGCATTCCCTGCTGTCCACAGCTCACCATCTAGGCTACACACATGGAGATGGTTTAGGAATAAGCTACAGATTATAAGCCTCACTCTTAGCTGAGCCAGGCAAAAAAAAAAAAAAAAAAAGATAGAAATGCATCAAGTTCAAGGGGGAAATAAGTGAACAGAAGGAGAGAGAAGAAGAGCAGTTTAAGAAGGAGAGTAGAGCTGGTGAGGAAGTAGACAAAGTCCCAATAATAATGATAATAAGAACTAACATCCATATAGGGCCTGGTAAGTGTGGGCCAAAAAACTCCAGTTTGTAGCAGAAGTCACTTAGAATTCCAAACAAGATTAATCAATTTATTAGGGAGTCCCAGAGTCCCTAATTAATTGGCCCAAGATCTTCCTCACGCTCAGGGACTCCTATTGCTTGAGGGTGACCAGTATTTACCCAAATTGAGAGCACACTAAAAATGGAAGAAATAGTACAATTTCCTGATTGGTTGAGGAGCATATCCATAATCATAACCACTTTGTCAACAGGAATTTCACAGGTCATGAGACCTTCCACATGTCATCAACTCCAGGTTATCTCTGCTGGGGCTTTCCAGAGGTCCTAAGAACCTTCCACAACATCTCAGGGCCTTCCACAAGTCCTAAGATCCTAGTGTTTGACCAACAGTATCCTAGGGTCCAAGGAAATTGTGGTTTTGAAGCCAAGGTGGCTAGGGAGAGAACAGCATTGATTCAGAGGGGTAAGGAGGTATCGTACCAGCAAATGAACCTTATTACAGCATGTTATAGAGTTGGGGTGGAGGATGGGGAGCCCTTACAGCAATTCTACTATTACTACATTTCTAATAATATGAATCTAGCTGATAAATATAAGTAATATAATCGTCATGATGGGTTAATCATTTATATCTCTTATCCTAACAGCATTACCATACAGAACTAACTTAAACTTAATCCTGTTCTGCTTAATTCACTAGTACAATCATGGATACCTATCAAATCACAATAAACTGAATAAATACTGATTGATTTGACCAGGAGGTATCACATAAGGTGTCACGTAAGTGCCAAGCAATTTCCAAGTATTGTTTGATCCTCACAATAACTCTGAGAGGTAGGTGCTGTTATTATCCTTCTTTTATACATAAGGAAACTGAGGCAAAAAGAGAGGTACTGTGAGTTGCTCAGTGTCACACAGATAGAAAGTGTCTGAGTCTGGATTTGAACTCAGGTCTTCCTGACTTCAAGCATAGTGCTCTGTCCATTGTGCTGCCTGGCTGCCTTATGGTAGAAAATAGTCACACCATAAAGGAAGCTTCAAATAGGGGAGATAAAGAGATGACATACTTTTAAGATAGTGTTCCAGCCAGGCATCTGGGACTGGGATGGGAGGGAAGACAAGATGGGTAAGGAGTGGAGATCAGGGCATTTCAATGATCAGTGACTAGTATTCATTCCCTTTCCCTTCCCCCACCTACTGTTTTTTTTAAAGGATTGAAGCAGAAGTAAAAAAGAAAAATAATTAGAGGCTATCAGGGAGAAAACAATTAATTGTCATAAGAAAATGTGCGTGGGATGAATCCACCCATGAAAACAGAGGACAGGAGAATGCATTAGAAAGGAAAACCAGGCAGCATTTTGTGTATAAGAAAGAGCCTTGACACAGAGATTCACAAAGCATTATAGTGAAAGGTTGGCATTCCTTAATACCTTTTGGAACTGTGCCCCTGCACTCACTCTCCTGTCTGCCCTTTGACCCAGTGATAACTACTAAACCTGCAAAGGAATCACAGAAAAAGACCCACTTACTCAACACAAAAATTATAGCTGCTGCTTTTTGTTGTTGCAAAATCTGGAAACAAAGATGGTGCCCACGTATTGGGAAATGACTGAGCCAATGATGGTCTAAGAATATGATGGAAGATTATGGCGCCATAAGAAACAATGAAAGGCGCAGTGTCAGAGAAGCCTGGAAAAAATCATCTGAACTGATGTAGGGAGATGTGAGCAGAACCGGGAGAAAGGTTTATACTACCATGGCACTGATCAATGCGGGAACAACCATGACTCCAGAACACTAGTTCCTCAAATCTTTTTTTCAAGAACTTGTTTCGAGAACCCAAATCAAGTCTGTTGTGAAGCAACCCCCACCACCACAGTCTTTCATTCTACTCATAACATTTTAAATTTACCTATCAAGTGCTTACGGTAATGACTTGGATGAGTTTTATCCCCACAGAGATCCAAGTTAATGCTTTCAGTCCCCTGTGTAATTATAACATATAAAATTTTATTCTATTTTAAATTATGGAAGTTTGTTCTGGGGCTTTCTTTAAGAATTTTTTTTTTAATCTCATAAGACCTCCTACTTACTATTACCTGCAAGATTTCAGTTTCAGTTTATTTTAAGATTTTTTTAATAGAAAGAGCATTTTTAATAAAATACCTTACAACTTGAAAATGTTGAACATAACATATTATGTGAAATGAATTCCAAAGTTGAACTTTTTTCTGCGAACAAAAGTTTGCGCTATTTGGTTCAACACCTGACATACCCGATCTTTAATTTGGTTCTGCATCGGGTTGATTTCATACGATTAATAACAACAAATAGGATAATTACAACCAGCATTTCTATAGTACTTGCTTTGTGCCGGTAACTATGTGCTGAGTGCTTTACAGAGATTACCTCTTTTGATCCTCACAACAATACTGGAAGGTAGATACTGTTTTTATCTCCATTTTACAGTTGAGGAAACAGAGGCAGTCAGAGGCTAAATGACTTGTGAGGGAGTCTGAGGCAGGATTTGAATCTGGTTCTTCCAGACTGCTAGGCCCACCCCGTGTCCCCTGTGTTACCAGATGTGCAGAAAGCCCTTGCTTTACATAAATCCACATTACGTAAATTCTCCTCCTTGGGGGCAGCACCAGGGGTCCTATACTGAAGACACTGGAATAGCTCTGGCTGTTGGGTCCCAGCCCATTTGCAGGAATCATAGAGCCACAGAGGTGGCAGGTGGTGAGGAGAAAGGCTGCAGACCTATCCATTTACATCACTCAAGACCTGGCTGAATTTTGATTTATAACCAAAATATAGTGAGAATGTTCCCTCACACACGGTTGAATTTTATAAGCTGTCATGTTAAGAGATGGAAATTCATTTTTTAAGCCCCCAAACCAGTCAACAAAATGAATGGCTAGTTATTATATAAAAATTTTTTTTCCATTGGCTAATGACAAGTAGTGTATTAAATGATAAATGTAGCTGAAGTTGAATTACACATATTGCTTTGAATTTTTTTGTTTTTAAACCATTATATATATGTGTATCTATATGTGTATACACATGACCTTTGTAAGGAAAGAACTCTTCAGACATAACTTTCTTCTCTCTCCCACTGGCACACTGGCTGCCCTCTCACAGAAGCTCTGTGAGAAGACTGGCCTGGGTCACCAGCCAGCTCCTTTGAAAGTTTGCCAAGTAGAAGAACAACATAAGTAGGAGATGGGTTCAAATGTGAAAGCAGCCTTCGCACTGCACTGAGAGGCAATGGGAGGTCCGCGAGGCAGTGGGAGGTCCGAGAGGCAGTGGGAGGTC